GGATTTGCTTAAAGTTAGTACTTTAAAAAATTCTTTGCTATCACTAACTACCAAAAAAAACTGCAACAAATTTATTTGGTTGGTCTTTTAAACCTAATGTTTTTTCAAATCAGACCTCAGCATTTGATCCAAAAGAACAATCGTATGCAAACACTGCAAATAATCATCAGGTCGCTCACTTTGATAGTCAATTAAGGACTTCTAACAAAATTTTTTCTCTGAACAAAGTTGCACCTGGCAAAGTTCAACCAGAAAAAGTTAAAGTAACCCATGCTTATACTACTTTTTGTCAGATACATTATCTCACTAAAGTAAATGCGACAATGTGTCAAATTAAACAACAATCATTGCGTTGGTTCTGCGGTTCATTTGATTCGAGTGATATCGATGCTCGACAAAACGTAATCAATACTGATCTCCATTTATCTGCCAATCAATGTAAATCGGCCGCCGACAGAGGCTATCTGAACCTAAGCTATGCTAGTGTTGGAAGTATTCCTTTCAATTTAAAGGATAAAACAATAACTAATGCCCATGCTGGCAAAGTTGGCGGCAAAAATCATAATGAATTTGATGGCCGTTGATGGATCAAACTAGACACTTTTGGAAATTGCATGAAAAATGTAACTGCAAGTGTTAACCTCAAAGATGGAACAGTCAACAATTGGCAAAGCATTCCTTTTCCCTGTCCAGTGTGAGAAACAGGATCCAGTGTTCCTTTTCCCTATCCAGTGTTCCCTGTCCAGTTTTCCCTGTCCAGTGTTCCTTTTCCCTGTCCAGTGTTATGCTTAGCGGATGAGAAACAAAATCCTTAGATGCTTTTGCTTATAGTTGGGAAGAACCCACAAAATGTATTTTCACCGTCTTAAACAGACTTCTGGCTAAGATGATTCAAAACGCAGAATCATACTATGAAATCAAAGACCTTTTTAGCCCATCAATTCACTCTATTCAAACAAGGGACACTCAAAAATGTATGCTGCTGGTGACGAATAAACCGCAATCTCTTTGTGGTCATCCTAGAATAGTATAACCAGCTTTTTTTGATTCATTTTTCTTCTCCTCGCATATACTGAAAATTTAAATGTGGATACTGGAATCCAAATTAAACTAAAGCCAGAAACGGGAATTATTCATCATGCCGGCCAACCAAAATCTACTTTTCTCACAACAAGTGAAAATTTGCCGCCACTTAAGTTCTTAACTAGTCAAACTGACTATGAAGCTCATATAGGTACCAACTTGGATTAAATGTTTCTCAATAGCTTCTACATGCTTAGAACGGCCGAAATGGTTCTTATGAAAAATCAATTTGAGCTAGAATGCTCCTCAATCTTAAATACTCTAATGCTTTCACTTGAAAGCCCACGTTTGGCTGGCTACATTTTAACTCAGAACCGCTCTATGTTCTTTGAGACCAATGGCAATGTTGCCTGGCTCTACCATTGTCCGAAATTTTATTCACCTTTGCAATTAATGGATGAATGCTATAATCGCATTCCCATTATGTATAAGGAAAAGATTCAATTTGTCGATCCAATTACGCGACAAACTTTTCAGTCGGCATATCTACAAGACTGTTCAGACAAACATTTAAATCTCTTTCAACTAGATGTTGATGATGATAAGTCCTGGATTGAATTAACCCCTCAAATTACAAGGGATACAGGACCATATCTCTTTAAACCAAAAGAGATAGTTCAACAGATTAAGCATTCTTTTGTCTCTAGTCAACGTACTTCAATCTACACATATGCTCAAAAGCAAAATTTTTGGAATATGATTTCCGATAATTCTGAATATGATTTCCGAGATGAAAGGAATACTGCAAAAAGTATCCAGGTCCTTTCTAAACGCCCAAAAATTTCTTTTCACGGACTCATATAGCCCACTAAGTTCTTCTCAAACAATATATTTGGACTATCTCATCGCTCCATTTTTTTGGAAAAACGAATACACCCGTATATTCGGGAAAGTACAATACTATTTAGAAAAATGCGGAATAGTCTTCGCCTCTTTTCTATTTGTGAAATTCATACTAGATTGCCTAGTATTCATAATTAAGGCTATGCATATCCACAAAATCACCGGTCGCTCACTACCCTTTGGCAAAGTATTGCTTGCCGCCTCATACAATATACTTTTCACATACTTTTCAAATAAATTCTACTGTTCTAGGATATACTAACTGATTCAACTATGGACGCAACACTTGACGACGACTTGAGAGGATTTGAGGATCTTCTCTCACTCCTGCCACCAACCGATCCACTCGACTCGCAGATTTCAGCACTCATTCAACAACCAACTGTTTCTACTACTACAACCCCCACTGCAAAGACCACCTCAACACGATCCTTCGTTGAGCCACTACTTCAAACCAATTCAGCTGTCCCAATAACTACAGCTTCAAATCCACGACCCCTAAAAGTTTCACCCCCTGATTTCAAAATACCCCTGGTTCCCTCGAATTCCAGAATTAAAAAGCGAACCCAGATTTTAAAACCATATAAGATACTAACGGCAAATACGACGGTATCAACTTCTCAATATCCAATGACCATCAGGCGACAGCCCTTACACCCCACTGAATTAAATACTAAGTGAGATATTCAGTTAGAAAGGGAACAATACATTAATTCTAACAGTAATCCCGGCTTCGATATGGATCTCAATTATGCTTTGAATCCATTAATCAACCGTTTTAAATTAGAAGCCTATCACCCCATAAAAAAATGTACTCCATAACTATACATGAAACGCATCAAATCCGGGTGCTAAAAAAGCAAACCCATAATTTGAAAACAAAAAATCACCAACTTATAGCCCGGTTGGAAGGAAAATTATAAAAACTTATCCTTTCATTTAAACATTTATTCTTTCGTTTTATATAGCTATGTAGTATAGCTATTAATTTTGCCTTTCTCATTAATTTTGATTTTTATAAAAAAACAAAAAAACAAAAAATACCCCTTTTGTATGAACCAGTCCTCCCCTTATTACGCATATGGACACCCACTTCACATACTTCAGGACGAAAAGGAAACTTCGAGAAAAGAATGTTCAAGGAATGATAATATTAAATTGACCTGCAAACTTTTGAGAAACAAATAATTTTGATGTATTTAATTTTATAGTTAAATCTCTTGGTTGTGTAAACTCTATTTTGATTTATAAATGTAACTGATGTATTTATATTCATTCAAGCCTGACTCAAAGTATCATTTGTTCAAAAACATCTGCTACCTATCTTTACCAACAAACGATTGAACAAACTTCATGAGATTGAAAGAAAAAGCTTTGATCGATCAACAATTACCCTACTATTCAAGTGAAAGAAAAAAAGAAAGTTTTAGTTTTTTTCCTCTCCAAATAGGAGGATGGATATGTTCTGATTTCAAATAGAAACAGAAACATTAGTTTTTTTATTGAGCTCACAAAGTGTGACGCCGAAGCCACCACAAAATTAATATGTTTTTATTCCCTTGCCAACCAAAATCTACTTTTCTCACAACAAGTGAAGATTTGCCGCCACCTAAGTTCTTAACTAGTCAAATTGACTATGAAGCTCATATAGGTACCAACTTGGACTAAATGTTTCTCAAAAGCTTCTACATGCTTAGAACGGCCGAAATGGTTCTTATGAAAAATCAATTTGAGCTAGAATGCTCCTCAATCTTAAATACTCTAATGCTTTCACTCGAGATCCCACGTATGGCTGGCTACGTATTAATTCAGAATAGATCTCAGAATGTTCTTGGAGATCAATGACAATGTTGCCTGGCTCTGTAATTTCCGAAAATTTATTAACCTTTGCAACTGATGGATCAATGCTATAATCGCATTCTCATAATGTTGAAGGAAAATATTCGACTTGTCGATCCATTTACCCGACAAACTCTTCAATCGGCAGACTTACAAGACTGTTACGATAAACATTTAAAGATTTTCCAACTAGATGTTGATGATGACAAGTCCTGGATTGAATTAACACCCTAAAAACAATGGATACAGGACCAAATCTCTTTAAAACAAAAGATATAGTTAAGCAAATTAAGCGTTCTTTAGCGTCCAGTCAAGGTGCTTCCATTTACACTTTTGCTCATATGCAAAGTTTTTACAAAATGATTTCTGATAAATGAGAAAAGAAAGGAATACTGCTAAAAGTGTCTAGATTGTTTCTAAATGCCCAAAAATTTCTTTTTTGGGACTCATATAGCCCACTAAGCTCTTCTCAAATTATAACTATATTGTTTCTCCTGATTTTTGGAAAAACTAACACACCGGTATTTTCGGGAGAATACAGTTCTAATTAGAAAAATGTGGAATAGCCTTCGCCTTATTCCTCTCTGTGAAATTCATACTAGATTGTCTAGTATTTATAAAAAAAAGCCTTGCATATTCACAAAATTACCGGCCGCTCACTACATTTTGGCAAAGTTTTGCTTGCCGCCTCGTGTTATGAACTTTTCACTTCTACAGTGACCTCGATTTTCACTCAGGATGAACAAACTGAAAAACTAGAAGAATTTGATCATAAAGTACAGGCACTTCTTTTAGAAGAAGTTGATAATATCAACCATTATCGCAAGTATCCTGCCATCCAATTAACAGGCTTTTTCATGGAACTACCGTTTCATCTAGTCTAATTGGTAATTTTAAAAATAAATAATAAACACCAATTGTTTATTCGACAAACATATTTTTTTACTAGTTTTTATGGCCCTTCTTTTTTGTGTTGAAAATTTTTTAAGGAAACAACAAAACCTCCAAAATAATTTTTGTACATCAAACTTTGAAATAATTTTAATACACTAGCGAATTTATATCCACAAAGGATCTAATATATTTTATTGCTAAAACATTTTCTAGCGAGTTCTCTACAGCATTACTCGGGCACCTCATTGCAAACTGCAGTGCTGAGTAGGGCTGCCACTATGCCTGGCACATCTCTTCCAAAATTATGTCAAATTTCGCTTTCTTCTGAACTCATTTTCAGACTTTGGCATCTTGGAGAAGTCCTCTTGGAACTAAAACAAAAATACACTCTTTATTTAATTTTTTTTTTCCACCCTAAATAAATCAACTTGTTTTCTATGTTACTTTTTGTTTTGGTTGTATAACTAACGAATCTTCCATTCTGTCCAAGAGTTAAGGACAAAAAGTCCATTTTATCTACCGAGACCAGCTCCGCTCCGTTCCATGGACTCCATGCTTCTTAGTGTGATATTGAGTCTGAGTCTGCAGTGTGATAGTGTGCCTTAGTGTGATAGTGAGCCTTGCCCAAAAATCTCCTCCGAGTTTAAAACAGGTTAGCTCCGGATGAAGCTCCTGTCCATCCAGAGCATCATCTCCCGTGGTGTCAAATTTAATCTTGTTTCCACCAAACCATCATAAAGACTAACCCTCCTTTCGTATTCTTGTCCTCCTGCAAGGCTTCTTGGGTAAAACCCAGCTTTTTTTTAGTTTAAACATTCGAGTAAATGAGAAATCGACTAAATGGTCTTCCGGCTGGACAGAAGTCTTTTTCTTTCAAATTAATCTAATTTTTTTCTCAAATAAAATCAAACGAAGTTGAACCAAAAGCTTTAAAATGATGTTGTTTTTAGTTCTCTCTTATGAAGAGATTCTTTTAAAAAGTTTTCCTTGTCTAATCGGAAGTAGAATGCAGTTACGTTTTAACAACCGATTAAACGAACAACAAATTAAACCGCTACATGTTAACAAAACGAAACGGAAAACCGCGACATTGAACACGAATGGAAAAAACCACATCATTGAAAAAGAATGCCGAAGAAAATACCGAAGAAAGACTTTAAAACGGGTCATCTCCGAAAAACACCAAATAATAACGGCCAATCAGAGCATAGGTTTGCAAAAAAGAAAACCAGCCTTGAAGAACCAACTGATATACAGTTACTTTCATTCTAACTCAATTTCACATCTTGCATTCTAATCTCCTCTCTTCAGCTAATAAATCTACTGAATTCCTCCACTAAATAACAAATCTGACTCAGATTCCGCATCGGAAAAACATCCACAAATTGACAAATCCTAACATTGAGCAGGAAGAAGGTGAAGTGATGGATCAGGTTCCCATTCTAACGACTCTCGAGGATTTGCTTAAAGTTAGTACTTTAAAAAATTCTTTGCTATCACTAACTACCAAAAAAACTGCAACAAATTTATTTGGTTGGTCTTTTAAACCTAATGTTTTTTCAAATCAGACCTAAGCATTTGATCCAAAAGAACAATTGTATGCAAACACTGCAAATAATCATCAGGTCGCTCACTTTGATTGTCAATTAAGGATTCTAACAAAATTTTCTCTCTGAACAAAGTTGCACCTGGCAAAGTTCAACCAGAAAAAGTTAAAGTAACCCATGCTTATAATACTTTTTGTCAGATACATTATTGCACTAAAGTAAATGCGACGATGTGTCAAATTAAACAACAATCATTGCGTTGGTTCTGCGGTTCATTTGATTCGAGTGATATCGATGCTCGACAAAACGTAATCAATACTGATCTCCATTTATCTGCCGATCAACGTAAATCGGCCGCCGACAGAGGCTATCTGAACCTAAGCTATGATAGTGTTGGAAGTATTCCTTTCAATTTAAAGGATAAAACAATAACTAATGCCCATGCTGGCAAAGTTGGCGGCAAAAATCATAATGAATTTGATGGCCGTTGATGGATCAAACTAGACACTTTTGGAAATTGCATGAAAAATGTAACTGCAAGTGTTAACCTCAAAGATGGAACAGTCAACAATTGGCAAAGCATTCCTTTTCCCTGTCCAGTGTGAGAAACAGGATCCAGTGTTCCTTTTCCCTATCCAGTGTTCCCTGTCCAGTTTTCCCTGTCCAGTGTTCCTTTTCCCTGTCCAGTGTTATGCTTAGCGGATGAGAAACAAAATCCTTAGATGCTTTTGCTTATAGTTGGGAAGAACCCACAAAATGTATTTTCACCGTCTTAAACAGACTTCTGGCTAAGATGATTCAAAACGCAGAATCATACTATGAAATCAAAGACATTTTTAGCCCATCAATTCACTCTATTCAAACAAGGGACACTCAAAAATGTATGCTGCTGGTGACGAATAAACCGCAATCTCTTTGTGGTCATCCTAGAATAGTATAACCAGCTTTTTTTGATTCATTTTTCTTCTCCTCGCATATACTGAAAATTTAAATGTGGATACTGGAATCCAAATTAAACTAAAGCCAGAAACGGGAAATATTCATCATGCCGGCCAACCAAAATCTACTTTTCTCACAACAAGTGAAAATTTGCCGCCACTTAAGTTCTTAACTAGTCAAACTGACTATGAAGCTCATATAGGTACCAACTTGGATTAAATGTTTCTCAATAGCTTCTACATGCTTAGAACGGCCGAAATGGTTCTTATGAAAAATCAATTTGAGCTAGAATGCTCCTCAATCTTAAATACTCTAATGCTTTCACTTGAAAGCCCACGTTTGGCTGGCTACATTTTAACTCAGAACCGCTCTATGTTCTTTGAGACCAATGGCAATGTTGCCTGGCTCTACCATTGTCCGAAATTTTATTCACCTTTGCAATTAATGGATGAATGCTATAATCGCATTCCCATTATGTATAAGGAAAAGATTCAATTTGTCGATCCAATTACGCGACAAACTTTTCAGTCGGCATATCTACAAGACTGTTCAGACAAACATTTAAATCTCTTTCAACTAGATGTTGATGATGATAAGTCCTGGATTGAATTAACCCCTCAAATTACAAGGGATACAGGACCATATCTCTTTAAACTAAAAGAGATAGTTCAACAGATTAAGCATTCTTTTGCCTCTAGTCAAGGTACTTCAATCTACACATATGCTCAAAAGCAAAATTTTTGGAATATGATTTCCGATAATTCTGAATATGATTTCCGAGATGAAAGGAATACTGCAAAAAGTATCCAGGTCCTTTCTAAACGCCCGAAAATTTCTTTTCACGGACTCATATAGCCCACTAGGTTCTTCTCAAACAATATATTTGGTCTATCTCATCGCTCCAAACTTTTGGAAAAACGAATACACCCGTATATTCGGGAAAGTACAATACTATTTAGAAAAATGCGGAATAGTCTTCGCCTCTTTTCTATTTGTGAAATTCATACTAGATTGTCTAGTATTCATAATTAAGGCTATGCATATTCACAAAATCACCGGCCGCTCACTACACTTTGGCAAAGTATTGCTTGCCGCCTCATACAATATACTTTTCACATACTTTTCAAATAAATTCTACTGTTCTAGGATATACCAACTGATTCAACTATGGACGCAACACTTGACGACGACTTGAGAGGATTTGAGGATCTTCTCTCACTCCTGCCACCAACCGATCCACTCGACTCGCAGATTTCAGCACTCATTCAACAACCAACTGTTTCTACTACTACAACCCCCACTGCAAAGCCCACCTCAACACGATCCTTCGTTGAGCCACTACTTCAAACCAATTCAGCTGTCCCAATAACTACAGCTTCAAATCCACGACCCCTAAAAGTTTCACCCCCTGATTTCAAAATACCCCTGGTTCCCTCGAATTCCAGAATTAAAAAGCGAACCCAGATTTTAAGACCATATAAGATACTTACGGCAAATACGACGGTATCAGCTTCTCAATATCCAATGACCATCAGGCGACAGCCCTTACACCCCACTGAATTAAATACTAAGTTAGATATTCAGTTAGAAAGGGAACAATACATTAATTCTAACAGTAATCCCGGCTTCGATATGGATCTCAATTATGCTTTGAATCCATTAATCAACCGTTTTAAATTAGAAGCCTATCACTCCATAAAAAAATGTACTCCATAACTAATTCCCTTCTTGAGTATCAAAAAATCTATGGCCCAGCAAAATATCTGACAGCAAAATTACAAATTCCCCAGTTGGATGACTATACTGAGCAAATTCAGCGCAGTCATATACATGAAACGCATCAAACCCGGGAGCTAGAAAAGCAAATCCATAATTTGAAAACAAAAAATCACCAACTTATAGCCCGGGTGGAAGGAAAATTATAAAAACTTATCCTTTCATTTAAACATTTATTCTTTCATTTTATATAGCTATGTAGTATAGCTATTAATTTTGCCTTTCTCATTAATTTTGATTTTTATAAAAAAAACAAAAAAACAAAAAATACCCCTTTTGTATGAACCAGTCCTCCCCTTATTACGCATATGGACACCCACTTCACATACTTCAGGACGAAAAGGAAACTTCGAGAAAAGAATGTTCAAGGAATGATAATATTAAACTGACCTGCAAACTTTTGAGAAACAAATAATTTTGATGTATTTAATTTTATAGTTAAATCTCTTGGTTGTGTAAACTCTATTTTGATTTATAAATGTAACTGATGTATTTATATTCATTCAAGCCTGACTCAAAGTATCATTTGTTCAAAAACATCTGCTACCTATCTTTACCAACAAACGATTGAACAAACTTCATGAGATTGAAAGAAAAAGCTTTGAGCGATCAACAATTACCCTACTACTCAAGTGAAAGAAAAAAAGAAAGTTTTAGTTTTTTTCCTCTCAAAATAGGAGGATGGATATGTTCTGATTTCAAATAGAAACAGAAACATTAGTTTTTTTATTGAGCTCACAAATTGTGACGCCGAAGCCACCACAAAATTAATATGTTTTTATTCCCTTGCCAACCAAAATCTACTTTTCTCACAACAAGTGAAGATTTGCCGCCACCTAAGTTCTTAACTAGTCAAATTGACTATGAAGCTCATATAGGTACCAACTTGGACTAAATGTTTCTCAATAGCTTCTACATGCTTAGAACGGCCGAAATGGTTCTTATGAAAAATCAATTTGAGCTAGAATGCTCCTCAATCTTAAATACTCTAATGCTTTCACTCGAGATCCCACGTATGGCTGGCTACGTATTAATTCAGAATAGATCTCAGAATGTTCTTGGAGATCAATGACAATGTTGCCTGGCTCTGTCATTTCCGAAACTTTATT